ACTGGGTACTTTTAAACTAGATACTAAAAAAAGATTAGTATTACTACTACTACTACTACTACTACTACTTACTTATTATTATTATTATTATTATTATTATTATTTCTTCTTCTTTGGCATAATCCCATGAGATATTCAGGCAACACTGACTTGTCGGAGGAAATCAAGCCTACCAGATTTCATAGGCATTGATTCAAGAAGAAAAGTGTGAAAGTAACTTTCCAGTTTAAGGCAGTTGTTACAAAAATGGCATGTTAGCAGCAATAAGACCTGAAGTTTTAAAAGCCTACAAAATTTCAGAAGGATGTGTGATGGAGTCATTTTATTTTGAAAAGGGAAAGTGATTTGCTATACTACTGCAGCTATTGTCAGGTTCTGAGGGTGGGGAGTCACATTTTGTTTGAAAGTAATCGATAACGCAGATGCTTCTTCATGCAAAAATCCTGCATGTTTTCAGATATATAGGGGTTATGGAGATAAAGGGAATGAAAAACAGAGTAAGACTTTTCTGGGTTTTGATCAGTTACCACCAAAGTTACAGAAAAAGGAGGACAGAGGAAGAACAAAAACCATGTGCCTGAAGACATTTGCCAGAAACCCTCATGGTGGAGCAAACCCTAGAGCTGTTGCTCCAAAAATGGCAGCTCAATGTACTCCTCTCCCCCTTTCCCCACTGGGGAACTTTCCTTAGGTGAACCAGTTGGGAAGGAATGCATTAATGTTTGCAAATCCACTGCCTCTATTTCTGAGTCCACCTGAATCGTGAATCAGGAGGACTCAGATTTGGACTGACATCCTTCTCTTGCTCTGGCCTGAATCAGCTGGATTTGGTTTAGGGTGTGGTAAAACTTGGGGATACCAAAATTGTTACAAAAAGGAGTTCATAGTAGAGTTGCAACGAGACCCCTGATGAAGGATTTTTTTTTTTTTTTTGGTAAAGGTGGCATGATTTCGAGCAAAATCTCTTTGGGGTGGACAAGGTTGAAGCTGTGGTGGTCTGGGTCAGAACCAAAAGGGATTGAAGACAATCTCTTAGTCTTTCTGACACCTTCCTTTGTTTTCACTCTCTTTCCTTTTCTCCACTCACCTAAGAGACAGCTGAAAGGGGGGCATTCTTTTCTTGCCAGAAGCTTGTGGTGACCTACTTGCAGAGGGCTTTTCAAGTGAGGCACAGAGCAGGCAGTATCCTAGGGTCACCATTTCCCTATTCCTGATACAGAGGCCCTTCAACCCAATTCCTGGTAACTCCAAAGATTTAAAGTGACCTTAGAGAATCAGAGTAGATGCAACGAGCTGGCTGGAATTGGAATCTGTCCCAGTGAAAGGCAGATTGGTACATTTCTGGCAGAACTGAGGGGGACCCTTAAAGAAGACCAAGGGTTAGAAAAGGGGCTCTCAGTGAGGATAAGTCTGAGACATGCTGGTTAAAGGGACTGAGTCAAGTGAACTTTGCAAGATTTCAGGGTTGGTTCTGAGTCTCATCTGGTAATAAACTCAGTGAGTTTCTTAATATCAACACCGCGATCCACCCATGTTTGATTCTGTTTTCTTTTGCTTTCTATTTTTCTCTAGGGTGAAAAAGGAGCCAAAGGTGAGAAGGTGGGTCAGCCTACTCATCCTACTACATCCTCAGTTTGGGGTCACTTGCTTACTTTTAAGCTCATTTTCAAGGGCCTTCAATGCCATCACTATTTTATACAGCCCCTTTACTTTGGATTATGTACCAAGCCAAACATCCAGCAGCAAAGGATGCCCTGTGCCCCACTCCTGTGCCTCCCAGGTACTTGAAGTCCACATGCCTGTTTGTGTCTTCTCAGGGAGATTCTGGTGAATGCACCTGCCAGCCCGGCTCTCGCCTGGACCCAAACTATGTTGGTCTTCCGGTAAGCGTCGCTTCACACTCCTGCTTCCCCGCAGCCTTGGGGATTTGCTGCCAGGCTGGATGAGAGTTCAAGCCACCCGCGCCCCCATTCTCCGCTCAACTGCTCAACGCCTTTGCTGCTCCGGAGGCTGGAACCCATGTCCTGCTTGGCCTTTGCTAAATGCTCTCCCCTTTTGGACCCGCAGGGCGCTCCGGGACTGTGGATCGGGACTTCCTGGCAGCCTCAGCCGGGCCCTCAGGTGTGTGTGTGGGTGTATGCGCATGCTTGCTCCTCTGTGCGTGGCAACTTTGGCTCCTCTATCCCAGGGTTGCTTTCATGCTCTCTTAACAGCCTTTCTATCTCTTATTTTTTCTTTGTGGATCACAGGGACCTCCAGGTGCTCCAGGACCTCCAGGACCACCAGGAGCCCCTGGAAGACAGGTAAGTGATAGGAGAACCAGACTTGCTAGTCTCTGACAGACAGGAACAGAGGTATAAATTATTATTACCACCTGTGGAATTGAGGAGGCCTTGTGGACATAACACAACTTCAGTGATCCTCATTAAAATGGTAAACTTAGGAATCTACCTCTGATGTTCTTTGCTGCACAAACTTCCAGTCAGTAGCATTTAGACCAGGAGTGGGTACGTTCTAGCCCTCCAGATGTTCTTGGCCCACAACTTCCCTTATTTCTGGCCATCAGCTGTTATGGCTGCAGCTGATGGGAGCTAGAGGGCATTTGCATCTGGAGGACCACCATTTTCCCCCAATAGTGCTTTAAAGAAGTGGGTTACATATGAGATTTCTCACCAAGCTATTTACACCCCAAAAGCAAGATTTTCAGAACATCTTTAAACAGATTTACTGAAAGAGAAAAGGAATAAGGTTTCAGAAATCTTAGCAACTGGATACATTTACTTTAGCACCCAGTTCCCTTTGCTAATCACCCACCAATGCACCAGGGAGGTGGCGACCTGTTTTCCTGAGAAAGGAAGATTGTGCAGATGTTCTGTGCTTATAACATTTTGCAAACTGCCATCCTCTTTCCCAGGCTCTGAAAAGCCCATTACAGTTCTGCTTCCATGATCTTTTTCTATTGGACCACCCTTTCATTTGAATGATTCAAAATGACAACAAGTGTTGTTCTCCAGCAGTTGAGAATGTTATGTCACCATGCCTTTGGTGGGACAAAAGGTCACTATCACCTTTTGTGGGACAAAAGGTGGTATTCCTTCTCACTCCTTCCTTTTCAGTACAGGAATACTGATCTGAAGGTAACTGGGGGACTAGCACTTGCCTTCACTGAAAAACAGCAGAACAGTTGACTAATGGAGCAGTGGAAAAGGAATAAGTGGACAAACAACTGATACATTTTCATCTATAGTCCTTTGGGGTTCTCCTTATCCACACGATAGCTACAGATCAAAACTTCTGCCTTCTAGAGATGTTGCTAATACAACGTCTCAATTCTCCCTCCTACTTTTATTCTATGTCTCTGCTGCTGCTTACTCTCATACACTCAAGGGCAATGTTTTGTTATTCCTTTGTAGCCACAGTGGACAAAGTCAACATGGACAGGGTTGAGGAAAATCCCCAAAGAAAAAGAGAAATCCAGGAAGTAGCTTTCTGGCTTTCAAAAAGTGGTTTGTGCAAACCACGCTTATTTTCCATGCAAAATCAGGCTGCCAGTTTTTGCCAGTGAAGTTGCATGGAGGCTAGAAAGTACAAAATGGAAGGTCAGGGTTGGCCAAATATGAAGAGGCAAAGGGAAGAAGCATTTCCCTCCTCTCACGTAACCCTGTGCAGTATCATGTTAAATATAAGTCAGGCTTTGGAAACATGGTGAAATGTATGTCTTGGGAATATTATGTTCCCCTAGGAGGTCACATGTGCCTTGATGGCCTGTGACATTGTTGGCTGTCCTCTTGCTTGGTGCAACTTTAGGTACCAGCAACAGCCAAGAAAGTGCATTGGGAGAGAAATGGAGAGATCCTTTTTTAAGACTGATGGTTAGAGTCATAGAAGCCAAGTGTATAAAAGTAATATACGTGCAGTAGGATGGAAGATGGAGAGAATTTAGAAGATTGGAAGACTTGGTGATGTTGCCTTCAGTTATGGCAATCATGTCTGGTCTTCAAAAATCCAGAAGACCACTAGAAAATAGCCAAGAGATAAAGCCAACTACACCCTTTGTTGCTTCCTTGTGGTCTTCTGGATTTTTGCAGACCAGCCATTAGAACCCTATCTTCCCTCTAAATGAAAATTGGCTCAAAGATATTTCCCAGGATATAAGAGAGTTGTGTCAATTCATTTTCCAACAGGGATTATGACTTATCCCTTATGAATGCTTCCCAATTCCTGTCCGTTGCTGAGAGCAGTCAAAACACATTTTGCTTTAAGATGGCTCAGGGAACTTTAAACAAATATCTTTAGAGATTATACTGTATATTAAAAGGAGAAATAATATCTTTTCTGGACCTTGTCCTGAGCTGGACAAGGAAGTCAGCATAAGAAAGAGAAGCAGACAATCAAAACTTGAAGTAGTCCTTGCCATTTGGCACCACTGAGTCACTGATGCACTTTTAAACCTGATTGATGGTGTCCAAAGACATTGATCAGACTTTAAACCCAGTTAAATCAGTTCCCAAATCTGATTAATAGGGCATAATGAATAATATTTCTTCCCCCTTTTAAGTGCCTCCTGTTTCTCCTCAAAAGAGAAGGCCCCACCAAACCCTAAAAAGTAGGATCCTTTACTCAACAGGCAGACTCCAATTTTAGGGCCAAGACATTTTTCGTACATTTCCAAACATTTATTCGATATCTGAGAAAGTTGGGCACTGTAAATCATGAGGAATCAAACCAGGAAAAGGATGGGGGGGGGGAGCGGGGAGAGGAACAGGTTTCCCCAGGATTTGACAAGGGTGAAAGGAGAAATTTCAGGCTTGGGGTTAAGGGGGACTCTTTTCTCTCCAGTTTTGGTTTCACCCAGAGGTAGAAGTTATATAGAAATGGGAATTCGGCCAATGTTACTACATCTCCAGAGATCCCTCGTCTTCTACCCCACCAGAGCCTTGCCTTAGTTTGAAGTGGCCTGAAAAATAGGTGAAGGGTCTGGAAAAGCATGGAGGGGGGTATTTCAGCAGGGGCTAGGTGAGGGGCACAGGAGAGAGGACCTTGAAGTCCCTTTGGGCTTGCCAGAATGCACTCAGGAGACGCAATCAGGGAGGACTCACGTATTCAAAGTTTCTCCTTGCCTTTAGGGCATCCCAGGACACAATGGCCTGCCGGGACTGCCTGGGCCAGCGGGTGAATTGGTAGGTACAGGACTGCAGCGTCCGCTATTCCCTGCGCTTGCTCAGGCCTGTGCTCAGATGCTGTCCCTCTTTGTGCAGCTGTTTCCTTCTTCCAAGTGCAGAAGAACATCCGAAGCAAAGCAAAACAAAAAACAAAAAAAAAACCCAGAAGCCATGAAGAACTTGTGAGGAGCTCACACTGCTTTTGGCAAACAACCCTAGAAGCTCATAATTCCATTGTGCTTTTTTTTTCCCCTATAAAAGAAAGGGAAACCAGAACTAGAACCACCCCTTTCCATGTACCTTTTATTTCTCTTACTCCATCTCTCCATTGCAGGGGCCACTACCAGTAGAGAGCCTTCCTCCAACAAAGGTAAGGCAGTCACCACCACCATCATCATCATGATCATCACCATCTGGTTCCTTTTTGTAATAATGCAAACTATCATTCCAGAGTTTGCTCATCTGGAAATAATTATCCTCCAAAGAAAATGCTGGATTTTCTGAGAGGGGTTTCAGGATAAGTCATCATGTCTCAGGATACAGATTGTTAAATCTGTGTTACGTTCCTCAACTGGTTCTAAACACTGACCCAAGTAACTGGGAGCATAGAGGAACATGGGAAATCATTGATTTACCATGGGTTCAGAGAAACTAGAATAGCACAGAAAGAAGGACAATTGGAGGCCTGAAAACTAGGTTTAACAGAGATACTGAGGGAACTGGGAGTTTTTAGTCCTGAGGAAGAATGAATAAGCTGGAGATATGATAGCACTGTTCAGATCCTCCGAAGCATATCATAGAGGAAATCTGCACTAGAGCTGTAGAGCTTCACCCAGTTGTTGCTAGGGCATTATAAAGCTGATTTGCATTAGAGATAAATCAACAGCTGAATGACAGTAGAAATTGCTCATGCGAAGGTGTGACCCATCCTCTATATCTCAGGACGTAGACCGATCCTAAGATAAAGCAAAGTCCAGCTGAATATAAAGAAATACTTCCCAATGACAAGAGCAGTTCTGTAATGGAGCCAGTTATCAAGGGAGGTTGCAAGGCTGTCCTTCACCCGGCAGGTTCGAGCAGAAGTTGGACAGCCCTCCTTCACGGATGCATAGTTTAGATTTCTGCGTGAAGCAAGGGGTTGGACTCAATGGCCATTCCAGCAACAGACACATATGAAATGCCTCCACTCTGCCTGATCTGGCTTATGTCTTTATCGTTAGTTGTGAAAAATTCAGTGGTAAATGACGCTCACACTCTTTCTCTTCTCTCATGCCAGAACATCTGTGGAGACTGCAGCTTCCAAGGCACTGGTGGATTGAAAGGAGAAAAGGGGGATCAGGGACAGCCTGGAGCTCCTGGCATAGATAACTGTGCGCAGGTGAGTAACCTGTGAGTCTCTCTTCAGCCACAAAGCAGACTACAAGACTGGTAGCCTTGCAATGGTGTCCATCAGTAATGCTCACACTTTCAATCATTTTTTAGTCACATTGCATATGTGCATTGTGGTGTATGATATTAAAGGCCAGATTGTTGATGGCTATCAATATCTGCAGGCAGATCATTTCTTTTTAATCATTCATGTTATATACTGTACGAAACAAAAACAAGTTATAAAACATACATAGAGCCAAACCAGACCTATTCTGTGGATCTCCAGTATCCTTTCTTGCTACATTGCATGCCCTGATTTTATTTTTATTTTTCATAAATCTTTTTCTTTAAAAAAAAAAAAAAACAGACCAGAAACTAGCAGGCTGCAAAGCAACATTCTAGCCTTGGGCATAGTTTTTATTTCCAATAATATTTCTGAGCATCCCCAGGCAGTCTGAGAAAATAAAAATGGTAAGGGGCCAGAGACGAGCACTTTATTTGGAGGTGTGCTTGTCGCCTAGAAAAAAAGACTAAAGTAAGTAGAAGGCATTGGAGCAACTTCACCAGTTTGCTTTCTGGTGTCATTGACCAGTCAGATCCCCTCTGCAGCTGCCATTTTGTAAGAAGGCCCATAGCATGCTCTCAAAATTCAAAATGTGTCCCGAAAGTCGGGGACCCCTGTATTAAGATAATATAGAACATTTCATACCCTACACAATCTGTTCATTAAAAGTCTTTCTTATGTTTCCCTATAAAGCATTATCAAATCACGTTTATCCAAAAGTGTTCCTGTTATTCCCTCCTTGGCCAATAACCATTCTTCACTATCTGCAAGAATGTTATAATTGATTCTCCACATCTAAAAACAGCCAGTGTGCCTATGGTGTCCAGATCCCATTTTCGTGTAGTTTTAAGTACTGGAGGCTCCTTGATTTGGGTGAGTTGAAACATATGATAGAAGATTCAGGAATTCACTGTAGGAGATAAGACAAATCAGAAAATAACTTTTTTCCTTTTATGGTGTAATGGATTTTCTTTATTCCTGGAATGCTAATGCAAGTTTCTGACACTTCCTGCCTAATCTCATTAAGTGACAAGAAGTCCCTCTGATCATTACATCTAGAGGTCTATGTTGATACCTGTTTTTCATACAAGTGGAAGTTTGGCGTTACTTGGGCAAGACTACAGCATCCTCTTGAGCTCTCCCAAAATCTATACTTTGGCCATAACATTCAACATGTAGATTACTTAAACAAATGCAATTTATTACAACCATCCTTGTCTTTTAGATCTGGCATAGCAGGGGCCGTTGCCCAGTTGAAATTGGCTGATCTCAAAAGCTAAGCAAGGTTCGGTCTGGTTAATACTTGGATGGGAGAGCATGAGGAAATTCCAGACTGTAGGCTAGATTGCAAATTTTAAAAAAAAGTTCCAGTAAAACAGTAGTAAAGCACTTCTGTATTGCTGCCAAGGAAACTACACAGATTTATCCAGCAGTCATGAGAAGTTGAGTTCCATTGAAGGGTGGCTTGACTTGACTGACACATTGAGCTTTCCCAACCAGCTGAAGGATATTGGGCATACTGTATCTCCCTCAGTTTCACTGGCCTGAGCAATTCCTTTCTGTGATTCCATAAATACATTCAGGTCCCATGTGCTGCCACATATCACAATGGGAAACAAGTTTAAGTGCAATGCATGGTCCATGATTTATGCCTTACCATCTTAGGAAAGATCACAAGGGGTCCTGGGGCATGCTCATCAGTTGCCGATTGCTTCATTGGCATCCTGGAAAATATATCTGCTCAAGGGAAAACTTGAGTGTATTCTGCAATTGAACTAGTCCTGCATTGATCAAGCAAATTTAGTATCTGCAGAACTTTAGTGGTAAAGCGTGCCATAAATTCTGGGCTAGGAATTAAACTCACTACATCTCTTCTACTTTCAGTGCCGCTCTGACTTCCCTGCAGAAGAGCCTCAGGTGAGTAAATCTCTAGGCTGGATATTTATCCAGTAGGAGGCAGGGGAAAGATAAAGACATAACAAATTGGTATCACTTCATTTCTATCAGATAATATGCAAAAGCCCAAAAGCACACCTACTTCTTTGGCAAATCTGCTCGTAGCTCATGTGCTGGTGTACTTGACCCAACTAGTACACCAGCTGGAAGCTCCTTAAACTAAAATAGCTTCATCACAATTGAGAGCTCTCATCCCCTGGAATCAGTTCTCGCCAGAATTACACTGGGAATTTGATCTATCAATATTTAAAAAGGCACTAAAAGCGTACCTTTTGTATGGGCCTTTGCAAAGCTCGTTTAAGTATGAGCTCTTCAGGCAGAACTGTACTGTTGTTTAGATATAGGTTTCAATTTTTTTTTTTTAAAGGGTATTGGCCATTCAGGTTTCTGAGGCTCTGTATTTTAGTTGTGACCTTACGTTGGATAGTAGTGAGTTATTGTATTCATGTTTTATCCTATTGATACCATATATGATTAGCCTAGTTATCAGTGCATGAACCCTAAAACGTCAACTACTACTGGAAACACATAAGATAGTAGATATTTTAAGTTATCCAGAGTCTTTTGGAGTGGGTGGTCATAATAAATTTAATCATCATCATCATCATGAAATGATGGTCAACTAGATGGTTGTCTCATTCAAAATGGTCTTCCCAACAACAACTTGGTTCCTAAGACCTAACGCTGCCTTAATAGCCCAGATCAAAGCCATGTCACCCCTTGTCTAAATCTATTCTGTGGCTATGTTCATATAGCACTCTTAACCACACCATTTCCAAACTTGCTCAACATGCTAAGTTGGCTTGCATGAATCCAGTCCATTTGGGCAATTTATGGTTCAATCGTTTTTGCAAAACTGCCAAATGGGTTCATTTAACAGACCACATTTTGTGAACACAGCCATTGTTTGAGGACTGAAACTAGGTGACAAGAGCTAGGTTTGGCCAGAGATGAGAGATGAATTGCTGGAGGATGACTAAATCCAGAAAGTATTTTCGGATGCCAGCTATGCCATGAGAAATGTGAAAAAGAAAGGTTCATCCAACTGCCACAAAAAATAAAAAAATGGTGCTATCGTACCTGATTGCACAAGGAACATGCAAATAATTAAGTGCAATAAAAGAAATCAATACATTGTAAATAAGCACGAAACAATCCCAACTAAGCATACTTAAAACCAAGTGGCAAGTCATGGTTTTCCTATAAAAAATTAAAAAGATAAACTTGAAACAACTGTTCAAAAGGACTGGCTTATTTTGTTTAGTCTCACCACTCAGGAACATTTGCTGACCAGGTGTCCCCAAAAGGGCATTTGGTGGGTCTCGCATTACCGTTTACGCCAGAGTTTGTTAACATCATTAATAAAAAGATGTCAAGTGGTCCCAGGGTTGTTACTGGGTTGATATTCTATGGTTGGCCTTCCTAGGAGTTTTTAAAAATTTCCAATCCAGCTGGGATGGGTGACAGGGTTGCCCGCAGCGGGATCAAAAAAAGTCAAGTTGGTGGCTACAACTGCATGATTGAAGCCCTGCCATTCTTTTACATGTGTCCTGTAAGAAGGGGGCAGCACTTCAATGGTGCAGTTGCAGCCACCATCTTGACTTTTTGGACCATTGCTACGGATGCCCCTGGCTGGTGATGTTAGAGCAACTTCATGGCATGAGGGGGTGAAGCCTTTCCTCCCCCACATGGACCTGTTAGGCAAGAACTTTGAGCATTATTGAAATCAAGGGACCTGGCAAATACATTTTCCATTTAAAAAAAAAAATGGTCGGAGATCCAACAGTTGGGGTATAGCATCTAGCCTGGCCTTCAGAATAGCTCTAAGCATAAAAATATTGTGTCTGTACTTAACAAGGCGTGTAAATATACGTATGTAAATATGTAAAGCAGTTCTGACAAATTCACTCACACAATTTACTGGAAACTACGGGAAATAGAGGGTCTTAGCCTGAATCCTGTTCACTGATGCAATCAGCCAAGGGTTCTGGCATTCGGTTCCACCGAAGATTGGTCCCAAAATCTCATTTGGCTCCTTCTTAAGTCATGGAAACTTATCCCCGGTAATCCCCAGTCTTAATACACAGCCATCCAGCACTCAATTAAATGAGATTTCTTGCTGTTTGCTTGAAACACGTTCAAATGGGTGTTCATAGGTAGTGGCGTGCATGAAAATCCAGATTTGGATGGAGGCAGTTAATTTTAAAGGGGAGAATGTTTCATTCTTATGATTTAATCTTAAATAATATTTAGGTTTGGCCTTTCGGAAAGATTTAGAATGAGCAGAAGCCCAGGAGGAGGGAGAAATATGTCAGGAAACGGTTACCCCTGGAATTATTATGGCAAAAATGGAGCTTTCGTCCAGCAGAGATCATCTTGGGCTTAGAAGCTGCTGTAGTTCCTTAACCACTTAGAAAACACTGAATGAGCCATCTCGTCTTCTCTTCTAGCCTGATAACGATGATCCAAATTGTCCCGAAGGATTTCCTGGAAGACCTGGCTATCCTGGAGAGAGAGGCGAGCAGGTAAAGCCACCTGGAGAGGTCAAGCAGCAAGGATGCTATTACAGATTCTCGAATTTCAGAAATGAGTTTCCTCTTGGCTTCTCCTTCTCCTTAGGGCCCACCAGGCTTACGAGGCTCGCCAGGCCCCCCCGGACCAACTGTGAGTATATCCTTTGAGTCAACTTCTGCTTATGTCTTCTCCCTTAAGACTTTATCCCTCTCCAACGTCACATACCAGCATAATCCGATGCCTGCCTAGGAAACAGGAGAGAGAAAGCCACTTAAGGCTAACCTTCCCCTCAGTGTGGGATCCATGGAGAACCCTGTGCTTCTACAACTGGACTGTGTTCAGTTGGGCTGCTGCTGTCCTATGCTTCAGCAAGAGCCTGGGCACTTCTGGTCCCCAAAAAGTCCTGTTTCCACCCTGGGAAGGGAGGGATGGGCCACTGTTTGTTCTCTTGGCAGCTTGGCTTGGAGGAATAGCACTTGGAAGTTTACTCTTCAGTTAAGAAGAAATGCATAATATATTGAGAGAGATTGGCGTTCTCTTCAACCAAGGCTCTCCTGTTTGCCCGCTTTCCCTAGTCCAGCCAATGTGATTACTGAGCGATGACCTCCCTGTTTCTTCCTGTAGGGCCCCCCAGGTTTTCCTGGAATTCCTGGCCCACCTGGATTACCTGTAAGAATCAATAAAGCACGTGCTCTGTGCAGTCCTTTGTCGCTGCTGTTTGTTTGGCTTCTCATCCTTCCTCCTCCCTCCTTCTCTAGGCTCTGGGTCTGATATCTCAGCCAGCCTATTCTCCCACACACTGCCACCTGGTCTGTAGACCTTCCTCAGCCCTCCACCTGACCCAGGGCTGCTGTTCTAGAACTTTCCCTTCAGAGAAGTCACCTGAGATCAATTGAGGTAGAAAGCTGTCTAGCCCCCAGGCAACATGGCATTCACTTGATCCAGGGAATTCCCATTTAGGAGCAAGCTCTTAGCCAGGATCATCCTTCAGCCTTCCCTCATAGAAAAATAAACTAGAAGACTCCACAATCCCAATGAATTGTGGTGGGATATTCTGGGTTTGGGGTTATTTGTCAGGCAGTGAGAAGATTGATTACTTCTAGACAGCTGACATTTCTCCCCAGAGATATTTCACATCAAGTAGATTCCAACACACAATTTTTTTCCTTCAGGGCTTAGCTTATCCATCACGCCCTGATCATGACTATCGACTCAGCTGAATCCCTTCAGAGGAAGTAGTTGGACCCAGGTTCAAGTGCATACAGTACCTGAGAAAGAATTCATGGTCTTGAAAGGAAGCTGTCTCTTTCCTAAACTAAAGGGCCCTCCCTTGTCATGTCTGTGAGTTGTGCTTCCGGCTCTTGAAGCAGTCATTGTACCCTCACCTGAGCATCACCATCATTCATTAATTCCTTATTCTCATCTCACTAATGACACTGTAACTCCCAGTCTGTGTGATTAATCGCTCCGTGATGTGGCCCTGTCACTGTCTGGTGTCAAGAGTGTGTCCAATAAAAGCCATCACCATGTAACCTCAACTAACTCCACCTTGCAGTGGCTCATGAGAGCCTCCCACATTTGTGGGTGATGTAATTAATGGAGATTCATTCTTGTATTATAGGTTGTGTAGGTCTTTCTCCTCTTAGCAAGAAATTATATTTGAGAGATGCTTGTGATGTGGGCCTTCTGGGTACTAAAGAACCTCTGGAGACATCCCCATTGACTGGATGAATGCACAAACTGGGTTCTACAAGCAGCCATATAAACTGGAACCAGTTTTCTCCCAGTCACCAGAAATTCTTAGGGAGATGGCAAACTGGGCTGGTATTTGTATTTAGCAGGAAAACTCAGAATCTTTTCTGGACTATGCATGAGGAAGTGGAACTGAGCCTCTCATGGCTGGACTTCTTCAGTGCACAAAGGGAAATGAATACAGTTTTGGCCAAAATGCTTTCCTTTCCAATGGTTTATCAAGGACATTGTAAGTCATTTTCTATCTCGGCCCTGCAGATAGAAAGACTGTCAGTTTTTCCTACTTTGACTCTGTACAAGTAAGAAAAACAGTCTCAGTCCTCAGATCCTTCCTTTGTAATTGGCACATCAGAATATGAAAATAGAAAGGGCATCTATAGGCAGCCTTCTGTAAAAACATTATTTCCTAATTGCGGTGCAGAAAAAAAACACCTTAATTTAGTAAAAAGAGATTGCCCCTCCCTCCATCAAATTCATTCTTCTATTACACGAGGAAAAACCATATTCTAGAAGTATTTTAAGATGTTCTATGAGGGATCTTTAGGAATGGAGTCTTATCTGATACCTTGATGAAGCAAAACTCTGTTCCTCCCTAACACAACCATTTTGCAGACCCTCAAAATTTGATCCTACAATATACTCATGACATGACCTGCTTCCTGAATCTACTAGTGGATCTAGTCCTAGGCTTTGGACAGAACTGAACAGTGTCCAGGAAGATGAACCATCACAAGAGAAAGGAAGGGAAAATTATCAAAGTTGCTACTGTGCTCTTATCATTATTTTCATGCTGAGAGAAAGGGGCCTGCTCCTTCACAGTAGTAATTCTTCTTTCAGGTATGTCCACAGGGGTGGGGTTAAAAAAGTCAAGATGGTGTCCATAACCATGCAATCAAAGCTCCATGCTTTTTTTTTTAATATGTGTTGCATGATTGTAGCTACCACCTTGACTTTTTGACCCACCCTGAAGACACCCCTGCCTTCTTCAGCCTTTTGTTCAACATAAAAATGGGATTTGGTATTTCCTAGGGAAAGAATGTCTTGCATCATTTTTAGATGTTTCCTTTTTCTCTTGTATCAATCTATTTTTGCTAACTTTCTCTTGGTTCATATCTTCAGTTGGAACTTGGTCCCATTTTACAGCCCATTTTCTAGCTCTGTCCTGGTGGTGCTTCATGTGTACTAATGGTTGTCACTTGGTCACAGAGGAAGGAGTTGAGTCAAGGGCAGAGCCTCTGAAAGAAAGAATTTATCCAGCATTAGAGGAAAAATTATTATATAGTGGAGGGACCAGATGGAAGTTGTGAAGAAAATTAGTGACTAGGCACTAATGTTAGAATGAGAGCACTACCAAACTTTAAGAAGCTATATATAGCTTCATTCGTTCATTCATTCATTCATTCAGTGGGATTCCCCTGAGAGGAATTTTGCACAGGATTGCAACCTAAGATTGATTCCATTATTTTCAGTGGGAACTAGTCACCAGTTCCCACTGACCTATGAATTATGGCTGAATTGTGACATTAGTCTGAAATCATTGGCCAGGATCAGTAATGGAGACTGGGGTGGAATCTAATCAGATTTGGTGGTTCTTGTGTAAGCAGTAAAGAGGAGGAAAAAACAGTGGAATAATTTAATAATGACTTGATCTTCTCTAGAACCTCCAAGATGCCAGTGCAGGAAATGTGACAGCCAGATAATATCACCCACAGGCTTTGTCTTGGAATTTAGATGTATACACTAAAAATTTGCTGATTTTTTTCTGCACCATATGCTGCCTTGCATATTCACAGAATGCTTTTCCTAGATCACAAGAAGAAATTCAAATAGTTAGTTCTTTTCATCTAGCAGCTTTTCTGAAAGTGCTTGGTGGGGATTGGGATATGTCTCCATGGGACGATCAAGACCTTGTACAGTTAGCCCTCACTTACCAACTGCCTCATTTAATGACCGTTCAAAGTTACAACAGTGTAAAAAAAATAGCTTTGTGACGAATCCTTGCATTTATGACCATTGCAACGTTCTGCGGTCACGTGATTGCCATTTGGGTGTGTCACAACTAGCTTGTGATGAGCAGAATTAAGACAGAAGGTGGAAGTAAAATCATAAGTCGCAGTCACGTGATGTCTCGCTTAGCGACTGCAGCACTTAGCAACAGAGTTGCTGGTCCCAATTGTGGTGGCTAAGTGAGGACTAGCTGTATTTGGAACAAAATGTAAGTGTGTGTATGTGTGTGTATGAGAGGGAGAACATTTGTGAGTATTCTGTCATCTAGATATCGCCCAGATCATGATTCAAACCCGTTTTGATTGTGCCTTGTCTGAATTAGCAATTTCATGTGTCCCCAGAAATGTTGCTGCAAGCACTGCCCTTCTACGACTTGGCTAATTGGATGTCTAACCAATAAAATCTTTATGAATTCTATTGATCTGTAAGCCTCCAGAATCTTAGAAAAAGCTATGGAAAACTGTGTTCCAGATGCTGATGATAGCTTTCCAGGCACCAGTGGTTAATTAAAGAAGTGGTGACTACCTCAAGACTACTCGATACTTATGCTGTATTCCTATTTCTATAACTTATTCTCCATCTGTTCCCAGCCTGTTCCCAGGTACATAGCTAGAGAGGCCACTCTCCCAACTGTGGTTAAATTGAATGGAGGGCAGAAAACATGAAACATATCCTGTATGTTTTTCTTTCCAAAGGGACTCCAGGGTGAACGTGGGCCATCTGGATTCCCTGGCTCCAAGGGAGAACCTGTGAGTGTTGGATCCAACTGATAATTTCAGAGAAGCTTTGAGCTATGGATGGAGCTTGTTGATTGAGGCCAGTTTTCTCCAGTGTGGCACCCTCCAGATCGGTTGAGACTGCAACTCATCTGCAGGAGGCTCGGTTGGGAAAAGCAGGTCTAAACACCCTTCCACTTATCATGGAAGACTCATGAAAAGTCTCATGGATAGGGGCAGTTTAGACTGATGGAGAACATTTTGGTGTGAACATAAGCCTGAATGCCTCAAATAATAAGTTACAGATGATTCAAGGAAGGAGTTGGAATGCCCAGATGCTTTTCCATGCCTGTGATGGAAAATCTGAAAGGCAGTTTCCTTATAATCAGCAACAAACAGATGATATCTGATCTGGAAAATCTGTAATCAAAGGTTGTGTCCATAGCATCAAACTTTTCTTGGACCATTCCTCTCTCTGATTTAAGTGAGTTAAATGCATTCTTCTAATTAACAGTACGAGTCAATGGGAAACTCTAGACTGATTTATTTCCATTGAAGATGTCATGGGAAGGGGCAATGTTCTTTGGAAGGGTCGCTATCTGCCTGGGGATGGGGGGAATCAAAGGAAGATGCTAGTGAATGTTGGAAGGGAGGACATTTAAATGGGCTGGTGAAGAACACCTCCTTGTCTTCTGAGAAGTGAGTGCCTTGTAACTGCCCACGTTCCAAACTGAAGTCATTTTATAAATGTGCCTGCTGCATGCTATCAAAATGCATAATGGCCCCCAAAGAGTTAACCCTCCTGAATTAAAGTGTTGGTTTTAGTCCACTCAATGGTAGGGAGGCAAGGCCAGCTGAGCCAGAAAGGCCTATAGACTGTCTTCGTACAGCATGCTTAAGCTTATTACTGAATGAACCTATTTTCTAGGGTTTGTGCAATATGCGGAACTATAAATGTGCAATATGTGGAACTAACCAAATGATCTGAGGTCCTATAGAGCATTAAGCCACAACCCTCCACTGCCCCCAAAGACCCTAAAATAAAAGCTTACAGTGTTGTATCAATGTAGCCAGTAGCTTTCTTGCCAATTTGGCTAAGCCTGTTGTATGAACCCAGTGGCCAGATCTAGAGAGGTCTCCTCTTTCTTGCCATGCACTCAGGAGTCCCCTTTCCATACTACAGTAATCTCTCTCTCTCTATCCCTTAGTTCAGTGTTTCTCAATGCTGGCAACTTTAAGAGGTGTGGACTTCAACTCCCAGAATTCCCCAGCCAGCATGCTGGCTGGGGAATTCTGGGAGTTGAAGTCCACACCTCTTAAAGTTGCCAACGTTGGGAAACACTGCCTTAGTTCCACAATCACAGTTTCTAATCTGCATCAGACTCCTCACTTGATCTGCAGGATTGCATTAAAAGAGAATGACCATCCACCCCTTTATTATTCTGAATGAGGGCCTGGCAGGATGACCAAGGTGTACTTTAGGGCCACCACTCCATGTTAAAGGAACTTGAGCACAAGCACCCTGATTCCACTGTACACTGCACAGTGGGTGTAAATAAGGGAAGACTCGCCTGCCATGTTCTGGCATCTACCCAAACATCAAAATGGAACTCGGTGGTGGTGGATGCTGTAGAGAACTGGTTCTGAGAGGTTAATTTGAAGCCCCAATCCTAGCATGCATTGAGATGTTTTCAATGTTCTTCTCTTCAGGGTCCTCCAGGTCAGCCTGGATATCCTGGATCTGCAGGATCCCCTGGACTCCCTGTGAGTATGACATATGTTCATTCAATTTATATCCCTTCTTTCTTTCTGGATCTCAACGAGGTGTACTTTCTCTTCTAATTTCTCCCCACTGCCACAATCCTGTGAGGTAAGTCCAGCTGAGCAGTGATGACTGACCACAGCTCATCCAGAAAGGTCCATGGCTGCAGATGGGCCTGAACCTGAGTCTCCAGATGAGCTCTTGCAGAAATGATGGGCTGGGTGGCTAAGCAGTGCCTCACATTTTGGACTTAAGAAGGAATACAATGAAACCCAAAAACCATTTTCTGGATCCCGAGAAAGACATTGGGTAGTAATCAACCCCCCAGCAGTAGAGCAAAATTGCCTTGTAGAAAAAAATCTACAAAGCACTTTCTTCTGACCCAAAGTTTGCTCACAGTTCTCTTCTTGGCGTGTGATTGTCTTTAGAGCAACGTTTGTCAACCTCAGCAACTTTGAGATGCATGGACTTCAAGTCCCAGAATTCCCCAGCCAGCATGTTGAAGTCTGCACATCTTAAAGTTGCTGAGGTTGACAAACACTGCTTTAGAGTACATCCTGTTAAGGCCCTATTGGATTTTTCACTGGATGTAGGGGAAAGTATAAAATGTTCAGATTTTATTATGTATGTTCATTTTTCACCATTTTTAAATTCACCATTTGGAAATGTAAAATGTAGGGTTCAAAAGCACAGAGTTTGTCAAAAGTTGTTTGGGCTTTTTTGTTATTATTTACAAAACTTCTATTATTTTATTATTATTTGCAAGACAGGAGAATGGAAGAAAGGGAGGAATTCTTGGGATTACTACAGTGTTGAAACCAGACAGCTTTGGCTGTCATTGATCGCTTTCATAGTACTGCTGACAATATCCCTTTTTTGTGTTTATGTATCTGCCTGCCATTAGGGTGCTAAAGGGGAACGGGGCTACGTTGGACCCTCAGGAGAGAAAGGAGAATCGGTAAGTAACTGGAAAAATGTTTCTCTTAAAAGCCCCTTCCTGGGCTCTTTTCAGAGGTCATGCTCTGAGGCTGGGACATTTGTGGATGGGGAAGAAGATCCTTTTTTCTTGTAACACTCCTCCCGTTTTTGGAAAACTCTCTCATATCTTTCCAGCTGCGAGACTCTTACATCCTCTCAGGCAGTAACATCAATATCCATTTTATTCCATAGTGGCTATATTCACATTTTTTAAAAAAATGTTTTAATTTGTTGCTTTAACTGTTTTACATCACTGTAAACCAGCCTGAAAGTGGAAATATGAAAGGGCAAGAGATGGATTAAGATTCATATTAAGTTAGGTAAATATAAAGCCCAGCTCAGTGAGGTAAGCTGCCTTATTCTAAGAGGATTACTAAACAAAGGTGCAGTCCTGGTTTTAGTGCAGTGTTTCTCAACGTTGGCAGCTTGAAGATATGTGGACTTCAACGCCCAGAATGCTGGCTGGGGAATTCTGGGAG